GAATTGTGGCCAGGCATTCTTCTCTACCGCTTGCCCTTCTAAAAGTCCTTGATCAAAATAGGCAGGATGTGGCTTCAAAACATAGCACTTTCAAAACTGAAAGAAAGCAATTCCAACAGCCTTGTCTCTTTGAACTCAATGGGCTGTATGCTACCCCTAATAGATTGGCTGAAGTCTTTTTTCTAACTTTTATTGGTTACCGTTTAGGTAAGAGTGAAATTGCTGAGTGTCTGACTGAGACATGTTTATATATGCAGGCAGCAAATAGAAGCATGAAGATAAAGATGAACTTGAGGGCACTTCTGTTCTCAAGTACAACACTCAGTCTACCTCTCCTTGTGAGCTGGGCTGCAGGAGGGCAGAGGCAGACTCTGAGATTTTAGTTCAAGTGCCATTCTGTCACTTACTTTCTCTGGGATCTTAGTTAAAGGGTTTAATCTCCTTGGAAATTGAAGTTCGTAACCTCTAAAATGGGGCAACAACTACCCCCTTAGGTTCATTGTGATAACATTTAAAGTGTCAGTGACACAGGACTTGAATGTGTTAGGTTAGAAAAAATTCACTCAACACCTAAGTATTGACCATATACTCTGAGCTGCGTGCTATGCACTGCCCAACTCTGGGCCATAGTTTACAACATAATTCTCTGGTATTTGTAAATTTACTAGGACAACAGGCGTGTTCTTTTCTTGGCAGAAAAGAAACCTTTTTGAGAAAGGCATACCATTTAAAAATTCTCACAAAGGCACAATGTAGGCTATGTAGCTTAAAGGGCAAAGGCAACATAGAAACTCAAAATAATCTCCCTGGTTGATGGTTATATCGGATCTTGAAAGAGCAAGGATGTGAAGGACAAGGAGGGAAGAGAAAGCATTCCTCACAGAATGAAAAGCTACTGAACCCCAGCAGCAGCGGCGATTTCAAAACATGCCCACACCTTCTTGAATATTTCTTCCTTTAAAAGATGAGGCCTAACTCCCCTCCATGAGTGCAGGCTGATTTGGTGACACACACTTCTCAATGAACTGACTGTGGTGGGTGGGTGTGCGTCAGCATAGTGGATCACAGCAGGCATCGAGACTTCCTCCTTGCTTTCTTGTGTGTCACTCTCTCTGGGGGAAGCTAGATGCCACCTTGTAAGGCTTCTTTCCAGCACCAAGAGAACCATCTTGGAATGAGATTCTCCAGCCCCAGTTGAGCCTTCAGATGATACAGCCTTGGCTGATGCCCAGGCTGCAGCCTAATGAGACACCCTGAGCCAGAACCATATGGCTAAGCCACTCCAGGGTTCCTGAACCACAGAAATGGAGATAATAAATATTTATTGTTGTATGTTGTTGAAGAAATTTGCTACACGGCAATAAGTCATTAACACAGTGGTAACATTCTTCCAATGGAAACTTCCTTTGCTTGGAGCCTGGCATCTTGGATGGTGAAGGGGACAGAGAAGATGAGGCCTGAAAGCCCAACATTCTTTGTTTAACAAGCTAGGATTTATACTTATCAGCAAAATACTCAAACTGGAGGATATTTTTACATAGAGGACATTTTTACATAATTGGAGTTGATTTTGATATCTCTGGCATGAAACAGGCTGTGAAGAGCCTGGCTGAGGGGGAGGGAGATTTCCAGTTAGGAAGTTCTAGGAACAATAGTTCAGGTAAGAGAAGATGAGAGTTAGAATGAAGAGAATGGCAGAGGAGGTGCATATGAGAGAATTGTCTTAAAAATTGCTGTTTTTCAGAAAGAAACCACAATTTCCAGGGCTATCTAGTGCAATCACACTTCACTCTACTTTATAGAGGGGGAAAAAGTGTTCTGAACTGTATGACAACCCTGTATTCATACCAACATCATCATCATCATCACCACCACCACACACACACACACACACACACACACACACACACACACATACACACACACACACACACACACACAGTACTTACTTCCATGCACTAATAGAATGAGCATTTTGCTTAAAAGACTTCACCATTAGGAAACATCTCCCTCTTAGGATTTACTATTCAGCATTTGAATTAGTCCTTTATAGGAACTCTAATTTCAAGAACAAAAAGAAAATGAGTGCCCGCCTTCCATAAAGGGAACCAGAAATAAGGCCACAGAATATTAGACTGAATTATAGTGAGATGATTTATAGCCCTGTTGGAATACAATTTAATGTGGTTTCAAAATGTTGAGAGATTCAATAGAATTTATGACTAAAACAGCATAGGCATAGATATCAAATTAGCAAAGAAGTGCTCATCTCCCAAATGGTTTTCTTAGAAAAAGAATATCTGGTTTTCTTAGAAAAAGAATATCTATTTTTGGTATTTCAATAGCCCCAGAAAAAGTGGATATATAAATGCTAATAAGGCTTGAATATTTTAAATGGCCACATTTCTATCCCAATGGTGAAGGAAGTGTGTGTGTGTGTGTGTGTGTGTGTGTGTATGTGTGTGTATGTATGTATTTTCATCCCATTGTCTTAATTACACTGTATAATCACTACTCATAGATGAATTTCAAAATGTTTCTTTTGGGAAATACAGTTCTAGTTGCACTGAAAATTAATCAGAGAAGCAGAAAGAATTCAAAACCAGTAGAAAGAGAGAGAGTCAAGGAACCAAATTTGATTTTCAGAAGAAAAATATTTATGTACAGTAAAAGCTGGGAATCACATAATTTCTGTTTCTGAAAATGACGTTTTAAATAATACTTTCTTTTACATTTACATATTATATGGAATGTTGAAGAAATGTTAACCTTCAAATAATTTGATTCAATAAATACTCGTTGAATACTCAGTGTCCTAACAGGAGATAAGACATTTCCACTAAGAGGAATATTTCTCTTAAAATAAAAGTGAAAATCTAAGTTCCTTGAGGCAGAGACTCTGTTGTTGACCACAATAGTCACGTGTCCATTGTGAGGCCTGAAAAAGGGACTCAGTGGACAAGTGACCTGTTGAAAGAAGAATGAATGAATGAGTGACAAATGCATGAATGTGTGTCATGTTAAATGTGTTGGGGCTGTATAAAAATAAGAACAAGGCTATAAATTTTCAAGGTGTGCCTCCACTGTAAGAATTCATACATAGTTACAACTCCAGAGTCTTGCGGAAGATGTAAAAGGTTTTGTTGTTTAAGAAAAGATAAAAATAACTGAAGTGTGAGCTAAGGAACAAAGAGGCTGCATATTTTAGGAGCCTTGGTGCAACTATTTAGGCAAAAGCACATTGCTGGGGCTACAATGAAGAACACTGATGTTCAAAAATAACTGTGATATAGGGAAAAATAACTTAATTAAACAATGTTTCTTGAAGATGATCAAAAATCTGCTTCTGGCTCACATGCCAAAGCTGAACTTCCAGAAAAATACAAAGAGAAACCACCACCATCAGTGCCTGCACCAGAGCTATTTATTAGCATAAGTTTCCCTTCATTTTCTTCAAGTTTTCATAACAACTGAAGTATGTACAAAGTCTTACAGCATTTACACCATAAAAGAAGTTTCTTATTAGCTGACGAAGTCTAAGGTAGGGCTCCTGAATTTCAGAGCGTAAGTATAAGAGCAGTGAAGCAGACCACTGCATGTGTACCTTTTGCTACAACACCACAACTGTCAGCTGGTTGACAGCTAACTGGAAGACAGGTTATTGGGGGTGGGGAGAAAGGGAACGAGTTGATATGTAGCACTAGAGACCATGGGGGCAAGGGGGACCTATATAGCGTGTATTTCTAGTTTCCTAGAGCTGTAATGAAGGCCCAGAGCCTGAGGGAGTAACATAGGCAAGACAACACCATCACACCTCTCAGATATGATCAGCCACCAAAGGCGTTCACTGTTGAAAAGGAGGCTCTATACCAGTGGTCGGCAAACTCATGAGTCAACAGAGTGGCAAACAGCGGCTCTTGAGCTGCAGTTTGCTGACCACTGCTCTATGCTAACATGACTGGTATTTCCGTGTGTGTGTGTGTGTGTGTGTGTTCATGTCTTCAGACAGCACAGATCTGCACACTCCCTTGTCCTCTCTCCCAAATAAAACAACAATAAAGGGAGGGAAGGAGGAAAGAGACTCAGCATGACCAAAAATACCTTGTCTCCCCCCAATTTAAAGACATTGAGTAACAACTTCCGAGTGGCCATTCCTGTCAAAAAGATTAATAGTTCTGCATCAACCCAAATCAGAAGACTATCAACAGAACCCCGGACATTCAACCTCCTAGATATAACCGCCTTCATTGTATCTGATTGTCTTTTCTTGGGGTCAGTATTATGCAGAGCCACCAGTTTTTATTTACACACTACATAGGACACAGGACGTAGCATTGTTGCCCCAACCATTACTTAAGCAAGGGGCAAGAGCATTGCAGTGTGTAAGGGGTTAACCTCAGCTTCACCACTTTCTTTCCTCAGAAAACCCAGCCTGGTTCTAGCTCAGGTCAGTTAACCCATCCGCGTGGTTAGCAGATTCTATTTATTTCCCTCTTGTTTGGGTGTCACACGTAGGCAAATTGGCTTTTTTTTATTTATTTATTTATTTCAAAAAGATGCTCCTCTCAACTTAAAAGCCAGTTGGTAAAACTTTTAATTAAGACACAATAGAGCGGGGTATAAAACACAAGAACCACATAAATATTGAAGAAGTTGTATACCGTTTCTCGTGTGTGTAAACAGTTTTGCTTGAGATCAAAGCCCTCACATCAGGTTCTGGCCGGAAACTTTTTTTTTTTTTTTTTTGGCAGGTGACATGTGTGTTCAGCCAGGCTCTGCAGCGATGATGGTTGTGTGACCGGGACCGCCGGGGTCAAGTCCCCTTTTGTTGACAGGCATGCAACTTGGAAAACATTGCACAACGAGCAACACAAAGAAGAGTGGAGAAGCTCACAACACTTCAAGGAGAGACCTCACGACCTTCACGACGGCGGATGCACAGACAAAGAGACCCACCCCCTCTCTCCCTCCTTCGCACACGCGGCGCTGTGTGTCTCTTCTTACACGTGGGAGACCTTCTGGGACTCTCTGGCTTGCTTGATGCTATACAACCACTTGATGATCCTGGCATTCCTCTCGATCGCCGAAATGCCGTAGGGCACCCGGTCGTTGGCACTGTCATCGTTCCTAAGGTCGCTGTTGCTGTCCTGAGACTGCTCGCAGTCCGAGCTGATCATGCTGGCGCTGCGGAAGTTGAGGGAGATGATGTCCGAGTTAGCCCTGGCGAAGTTCTCCATGCCGAGGTTCTCCAGCTCCTCGGGGTCCAGCCCGCAGTAGTTGAAGAACCTCTCCACGTCGGCGTCCACGCGGAAGTACCTATCACTCAGGTCCGACTTGGACCGCTGCAGGGAGGGCCTCCGGCTGACCCCGCAGGCGGGCTCCACGCTGGGGTCGGCGGCCTCGGGGGGCTTCGTGGTGGTGGCCACGGCTGCCACCTTGGGCTTGGGGGGCAGGGGAGGGGCGGAGCTGCTGCAGGGGATGGCTCTCAGGGGCTTGCCACCGGTCACTCTGCGGATGTCCGAGGAGCTGTGGGACACATGCAGGAAGGACTCTGCAGCCGTCTGCTCCAGCAGCCTCCTGCCCACGTGCGAGCTGCTCTCCTGCGGGCTGCCCCGGCCCGGCGTGCTGCTGGTGCTGGGGTAGACCTTGAGGGACTCGGCGAAGGAGTGTCGGTGCAGGTCGGTGGCGTCAGGCCGGTGGTGGTGGTGGTGCGCAGGCCAGTTCCGGGAGCCGCCGTGCTTGTGGCCGGAGCCCGAGCTGGAGCCCTCCGAGCTGTTGATGATGTTCTTCAGGATCTCGAGCTTGAGGGTCTCCCGGTGCACGCCGCCCCCGCCGCCGCCGCTCTCGGACTTGGCGCTGGGCCCCAGCACCCGGAGCGTCGGGCTGCCCAGCGCGCGCTTGGCGCCGGGGCACACGGGGGGCTTGGCCAGCACGGCGGGCTTCACGGGCTCCTGCTTGGCGTTGATGACCTCCTGGCTCTTGACGTACTTGGCCTTGTCGGCCTCCAGCCTCTCCACGGCGCTGAGCCGCTTGGGGTTGGGCTCGGCCTGCCGGCGGAAGTAGTCGGGCCCCTTGTTGAGGATGCGCAGGGGCACCGCGGAGGTGAAGGTGCCCGCGGGGCTGACCGGCTTCACCATGCTACCTGCCTGCAGGGTCTCCGTGGGCATGGCGGGCGGTCTCTCCCCGGCGGCCGTGTTGGATGCTCTGCTGCGCGCCTCCGGATGCGCTGAACAGACTCATGTACACGGAGCGCAGAGGGCAAGGGATGGACCCTGGGACCGGAGTGTCAGCAGTGGCGGTGGCAGCAGCAGCAGCAGAGGCGGCAGCGCCTCATCTCACAGCCCATCCACCGCCTCGGGGGCTTTCCACGTTCTCTCTCTTGACAGGCAGCCCTGGTGCAGAGGACAGGAGCCACAAGTTCTTTGAATCCGCGTCGCCGCCTCCTTTCTTCTCCTCAAGGATGTGGGAGTTTCCTCCGGGCCTTTGTGTTCCACTGCAGGCAGAGCTGAAACACAAAACAACCAACCGCGGGTTAGGATGGGCGAGTGACATCACAGCTGTAGCAACCCGGAGCCCCGCTGCGGCGGGCGCCCCGCCTCTGCCTGCCGGCCTGCCCGCCGCCTGCCCGGTGCCCGCCAGCTCAGGAGGCGGTGCCCAGTCCCCGGAGCGCACCCAGGCCTGGGGGCGAGCCTGCTCCCCCACCCCCACCCCCACCCCCGTGCTCCGCAGGCCGGAGCCGGCCGGGCCGGCCTCTGGGAGAAAGCTGCTGACATTTCCCACGCGTGAACGCTTCCAGCCGCCTCCCCATTGGTGGGAACGGCCTGGGATCACGCCAGGTTGGTTTTACTGATGTCAAAACCCAGGAGATGCTAGGCGAATGTAGAAATGCTGGTTTAGCAAAGCCCAGTTCTCAGTTCATGAACATCCTAAGAATCTCTCTATGGTTTACACTGCAACGTGGGGGAGTTGATGTCTCCTTCGCAGTGAAGGCAAACTTGTGACTCCGTGCTACCCACATCTCAGTGAACACCTGCAACAAGCACTGCTCACCTCTTCAACAACTAAAACAATGGGCGGAGATGGGATTGGCAGTGCAGATGAAAAATCTTTCAGAAAGCAACGTTTCTGTTACCTTCTTTTTGCCAGTCAACATATCTGAAAATCCTTTCTCCTGGAAACCAAGAATGCTTTTATGAAGTTCAAGCGTATTTTTTAATAATAATAATAATAATAATAATAATAATGATAATAAACTAGAAGCACTTTTAGATTAACTATAGAAGTAGTTTGAAGTAGTTTGATCTTAAATGCTCCATCATTTTCCCCCCCACACTTAATGAGCAGAAATCAAAAGTTTCTCAGTGGAATGTATTTTCCCATCTCCTCCAAGGAAACAAAGCTCTTAAGATGTCAACCATGCCTAAGATGTTACTGTAGAGCGAACTTGTATAATAGCTAAGCTTTCCTGGAACTAATTCATAGTTTTCTGATACCCTCCCTCCCTCCAACCTCCCACCCCCCGGCTCCCATCCCCAACCAACCAATATGTATCTATAGGTCTATAGGGAATTTTTCTACTTGCATTTACCTCTGCAGTCCTGGAAACAACTGCCTTTGCCTGCTCCTGCTGACAGAGAACACTTAGGAATGCATCAGCATTGGAAAGTAACTGGCTAAAGACCTTTTTAGCTCCTTTGGTTATAATAAGAACTGTAAAGAGAGGAATGTATTCATCTAATATATCAAAAACCTAATGCACAAAATAAGTGGAATTAACTATAAAACATCTGCTGTCATGGTAAGAAAATGAAGTGTCTATTAATAACGGGCGGGGGGGGGGGGGGAGACTGATATTTCTCCTTATCATCCTTTGAAACTCTTAATCTCTAAATGCACCCCTAGTCATGTTTCATTAGAGCTGGTTTTTGTAATCTGCAAAAGGATTTGTTCCAGCAAAAATATTTTCCTGTGCAAGATTTGAGAAGCCCCAAGGCAATTCCCACATAATGATTTTCTTTGGTTGTGTGGTTCCATTATAATACTTTAATTTAGCTTAAAAAAAAACCACCTCCTCTTATGAAGATGAAGTGAAATTGTTTCTTTGAACATATTTGGAATGACAGGCCAGAAGAGGAACCGTGACCTCTCTGCACATCCTCTGGGTCTGCCATCCACCACCCTGTGCCCGCCTCACTGGGAAGATGGCCTTGGGCCCCTCCACTAAGGGGCTTACAGCCTGGGTCCCCAGACAGAACTCCCTGGATCGTCCTCAGGACAGGCCATGTTTGTCCCCAGGACAGGCCATGTTTCTCACGCATCTTCACCAATTACCTCTGCAGCTTCCAAAATTCATCCAGGGAAGGGGCAGAACCAGGAGGCTCAGGGGCAGAGCGAAAGACAGGACTGGCATCTGCACTCAGCACCTTGCTGCCTATGAACCTCGGCAAACCCCTAGCAAGCAGGAAGAAGGCCCAGTGGGCAACAGGAGACAGAGCTCAGATCTCTTCTTCTGCGGCCTTGTCCCCTCCCCTATGAATGACAAGAGGTGCTTGGACAAGAGTCCGATCCCTTCTCCATCTAAAATCACGTGGTTCTGGGGAGCTAACAAGAAGTGAGTTGTTTCTAATCTCAAAAATGGCACCTGGGATTGAACTTTTGTATGGCACTTGCTGTTCTTAGGAAAATGTTCTTTGAATGCTGAATTGTAGTTCACATAAAACACCCACTGGTTTATGTTATGGCCTGTTTTCTTTTCTTTTTAAAAAAATATATATATTTTATTGATTTTTTACAGAGAGGAAGGGAGAGAGATAGAGAGTTAGAAACATCAATGAGAGAGAATCATTGATCAGCTGCCTCTTGCACACCCCCTACTGGGGATGTGCCCGCAACCAAGGTACATGTCCTAGACTGGATTTGAACTGGGACCCTTCAGTCCGCAAGCTGATACTCTATCCACTGAACCAAACCAGTTTTGGGAATGGCATATTTTCTAATTCCATCATATTAGGACCAGAAGTCCAAAATGTCCACCATTCTGACCCGACTTGCCATGTGGCTCTGATGTTAAGGCAGGCTTTGGTACCATTTGGGACACTAAATAACAATCATTACTCTAACTCACAAGTCTGAGAAACACCTATTTTGAATACAACTCCAGCTTCACCCACAGAAGTGAAACTGGTCATTGCTCATGCATGTTATGACAGAGGAAAGAATGTATATTGTTTGAAAGAGGGTGTCTGACTAATTCAATTCTAAGTCAACTAACAGCTCAGTGACTTGATCTTAACTGTGAAAAGAAATGTGTTGAATCGGTGAACTTGAAAATATCTTTAGATTAAACATTCTTGGAGGCAAAGAAGCAATTTCAAGAATTCTCAAAGAAGTGATTTTCCAGTTTGCTAACATGTCCGATCACAAAACATTTACAATAAGAATAAAATTGTCCCATGCTGCCTTTTGATTTTAGCGAATAGTATTTGTGCTTACTGACTTCAATCTAAGAGTACAGCTTGACTGGGATCATCTTATGCTTGTTTTTTTAAATTATATTTTTAGTGATTTTTTTACAGATAGGAAGGGAGAGGGACAGAGAGTCAGAAACATTGATGAGAGAGAAACATCCATCAGCTGTCTCCTGCACACCCGCTGCTAGGGATGTGCCTGCAATCAAGGTACAGGCCCTTGACCAGAATCAAACCTGGGACCCTTCAGTCTGCAGGCCGATGCTCGATCCACTGAGCCAAACCAGTCAAGGCTCCCCCCCACCCCCTCAATTTAAATGCAGAGAAAAAATAAAATAAAATAAAATAAAATAAAATAAAATAAAATAAAAGCAGAGAAACAGCCTGGCCACTGAAGTAAAAATGCAGTTCCCCAGGACAACGTTAACTTGAATTCTTTACAAATGTAATAGAAATGCACTAAAAATATAAGATTGCTTACTGAAGTATGGATTGTGTTCAATCAGTTAACTGACTAGTACTTTTAACTGAGCAATTATGTGTAAGTAACTAAAAAGGTCTTTTAGTAGAAGATTCAAAATACATCTGATGACTATTAATTAAATAACATTGATGAAAAATGTGGCGGGATTGTCACAGATGACTTCCTGCAAACAACTTCTCAGCAGTTAGATGAAAAACCAATGCTGGAGGGCAAACTGGAGACAGGGAGACAGGGCACCTGTTACCAGAGCAGCTCTCGATGGAGTTCATGGTACATTCAAGGCAGTGAAAGGGCACTGCCAATGGCTGGCATAGAGTGTTAGGGGACATTAGTGAGAAACCTACCGAGAGAGGGGAAAAGGGAAGATGGACTTGGATTCTATGTGGAGCAATGGGAGAGCACTACAGGGGAAGGAGGCACCAGCAATATCCTCCAGGCGGCACTGAGAATTGAACAAGTCTGGAGGGAAGAGTGGCGGGGGACAAAGTCTTAACCCCTGAGTTTTCACTGATGTCAGGTGGGCCAAAAAAGATAGCAATGGAGACAACTGCGCTTCAGCTGAGTAGGACCAGCGCAGTCCTCAGCTCTTTGTGTGTGTGTAGGGCAGTGGCCTAGTGTGCCTTCCGCACCTCAGACAGGCGGAGGCTGGACTCAGGGCCCTCTGGAAGTTGAGGAGCACGGAGACTGCTGACAGCCCAGGGCTGAGGGGTTCAAAGGCAGAGCCTGCCATGGCCTCTCCAAACACAGGACGCGGGCGAGGGGAAGCTGCATTGCCATGCGTGCGGGGTGAGGGTGTTCTGGGACCATGCGTGTACCTGGGGGAAGGTAGGTGTCAGTGGTTATCTTAAAAGGAACTCTCACCAAAGATTTTCCCACCCAAGTCAACAGCCCTACCCCAAGGAAAGACTGTGAGCTTCCCCTAGTGGTCTGAAAGTTCCCCAAAAGTAAGCTGTCTGAAGAACCCCCATGCCCAGGGGACACCGGATCCAGGAGTCAGAGGTGTGGAGAGGTATGCCATTTTTCCCTTACCAAGCTGTCCCCTCCCCCCTCACATTCGTACTCCCACGCGTGCCCTGAGAGGTAAGAAATGGCGCCTAATGCATGGGAGAAGAGCTAGAGCAGGGAGAGAGGGAAAGCAGGGGAATAACAACCTTTACTGAGTTCCCTATCCCCTCCTCCAGAGGTTTCCAAACCAACACAATCTGCGCTGGGAGAG